AAAACCCAACCCTCCACAGGACTTCCCCAGAGCCTTCTCAATCATGGTGAGGCTTCCCACTTCCTTCCCCTGGTGCCCACAAGAACCGGCCACTTCTGTGACCTGAATAAGTGGTCAAGTTTGAAGACACCCAGGAAGGTCACAAACAAGCCTCTGGGGGAGGTGCTCTAGGCTGCAAGCCCATCCGCTCCCTCTGCCCATGTGCGCTGGTCTAGCTGCCCTGGACAGAGGGGCGCTCCCCAGGGCCAGGCCCCATCTTATATTCCTGGGCCCTCTCCGCATTAGGCACTGGGCTGCATCAAGTCTCGATGGTACCCAATGCCTGGCCAGACACCTGAGCTCTGAGGCAGGCGGGGTGCAGGAGGGCCCGATGCTCCCCTGGCTCCTCACTGTGGAGAGGCCCTCCCCAGTAAAAGGCCCTGATGGAACAACCACAGAAACCCTCCTCTCCAGGGGCAGTGAAAACTACACTCAGTTCCATAGGGAGGAGGCGGGGGTGGGGGGGGAGGAGGGGATGCGGGGGGAGGGGCACAAACACGAGAGGACGCCTGCCCTTCCTGGAGCAGCACCGATGCCCAGCTCTGCTACTCTGTTGAAGCAGGGGGTCCCCCGGGGTTGAGGACGACGGAGCCCAACGCGCTGGGGCGTCTGCATGCACGACTCCGGGGACCAGGTTCAGAGACACAGATCCAAGTTTATTGGGGAAGTACAGCCGTATATAAAGGGGTAAGCAGCCAATGCAATAGGGACACGCTTGCTATGTTATCCAATGGGCGTGAGGGTCGGGGCTAAGAGTAGGTGGCTCCTGGAGATTTGTCAGGCGGGCATTGCCACTTCCTGGTGTGCCAAGGAAGTCTGTTCGCTGGAGTGTACTCACAGCGTTGCTTTGGCCGCAGCACTGAGATAGATCTCTGAGCTCTGCCCACACTCTGTGTTTTACAGCACTGGGCACGACACCATGCGCTGCCCCACACCCACTAGCGTTAGAACAGGACTGGTCTCTAATCCCTGTGTGACACATGAGGATGCTGTGGTCCACAGTGTTAAAACCTGTTACAGCTTAATTACAAGGGTCACATCTGGATTCAGGTTCAAGTTCAGAGCCCTCTTTAAAGAACCTCAGGCTGCCCTGGCTGGTTCGGCTCAGTGGATAGAGCATTGGCCTGCAGACTGAAGGGTCCCAGGTTCGATTCTGGTCACATGCCTGGGGAGCAGGCTCGATCCCCAGTGGGGGGCATGCAGGAGGCAGTCAATCAATGGTCTCTCTCATCACTGATGTTTCTCTCTCTCTCTCCCTCTCCCTGCCTCTCTGAAATCAATAAAAATATATTAAAAAATAAAAATAAAGAACCTCAGGCAAAAGCTTTGGTAAATACTCTCAGCGTGGCACCCGCAGCCTGCTCTCTCCTGTTTCTGGGCACCCACACACACACCATGGGTCTGAATCTACCTGAGATCCCACCACCACTGTCCTGAAGGAAAGGGATCTGTGCTTCTCCACATCCCCATCCCCTAGGCCAGTGATGGCGAACCTATGACACGCGTGTCAGAGGTGACACGCGAACTCATTTTTTTGGTTGATTTTTCTTTGTTAAATGGCATTTAAATATATAAAATAAATATCAAAAATATAAGTCTTTGTTTTACTATGGTTGCAAATATCAAAAAATTTTTATATGTGACACGGCACCAGAGTTAAGTTAGGGTTTTTCAAAATGCTGACACAACAAGCTCAAAAGGTTCGCCATCACTGGCCTAGGGCCTCTGAAATCTGCCAACCAGAAGTACAGGTGAAGGACAATCGTGTAAAATAGGCACAGGCTGGAGAGCTCCTGTGGACAGCCTCGGGCAGTACAAGAGGGGTTTGCAGTCCTGCTGGTTCACAGGCGAGAACAGCGTCCTCAGGCCATTTCTGAACAACATCTTAACCTGGGCCGGGTGGCCCTCAGGCCCTGGCTCCAGCCTCAGGTCACAGGCTGCCCTCTTTCCTGGGAGATGGAGAGATGTGTGCGGACTATCCCAGGCTGATCCCTGCCAAGCAATCCCTGTGGGAGGCAACCAATAGATGTCTCTCTCACATCTCTCTCTCCCCTTCTACTCTCTAAAAAAAAAAAAGTTGGGGGAGGGGGGGAAAAATATCCTTGGGTGAGGATTAACAACAACAACAAAAACATACTTGGAGAATGAGCCTGTTTAAAATGTATATGTGCAAGTACATGTGTATACACACACCCCCGTGGGCATGTACGTATATGTATGTCTGCCTACACATATGGAAAACAGTGGCAATTCTTGTGAGTGGGATAAAGGTGTTGCTAATAGTTATTGGGGCAGCAGTTGTTGGTTTGTTAACAAACTCTACAATGATTCTTCAGAAATGTGCCTCGTCCAAAAAATTCAGCAGACCCAGGAGTGAGAGGCTTCGGGCACCTCAGGAATGAGGCATTCGCCCAAGCTACTGCCACCGGCAACCCCGAGGTGTTTCCGTAAAGGGCTCAAGCTATGAATCTATAACTTGGTTTTTGGGCTTGTGGCCATCCGGGGGCATCTGGGTGCCACCACGGGGAACACCTAACAGGACAGCACTTCATTTTAGTGGCAGTTTTTACGCTGGCAAAACAGCCATCACCAGTGTCTAGGTGGCTTTACTCCGAGGGGACAGAAAGAAAACCTTGTGTCAAAAATGACCGGGAAAACAATAACCCAAGTCTCTCAAACACTAGCTGCACTTTGAGACAACCTGTACGTACACTTTTCTTTTTAGTCAAAGAGTAAATAGTAATAGCCATCCGGTGCTAGGATGCCTAAGGTATGTAAAGCTGTTCTGGGCTAAACCTCCACATTTTGGGAGAGAGAAGAGTTGGCCGCTTGCCCAAGGTTCCTTTGGTGAAGTGGAACTAAAGTTATCCTCAGCTTGAACACGCTGGCTGCAGTCCTGAAAATTCCCCAAGGTTTACAATTAACCACACATCTCCAAAGGCCGGCCTGAGCCCAGCTCTCAGACTGTCGAACGCTGCTGAACACCCACTCGGTGTGTGCACAGGCGATGCCCAGCAAGGAGACTGACCCATCACCCACCCGCCCCCTGCCCCGGGATCCAGGCATGCCCGAGGCAGCGACGGAAGGAATTCAGCCTGTGGCTGAACCACTTTATCTCAGCATCCAGATGGGAGGCTCCTCCACCCCCACCCACAGAGCCTTGCTCTTTTTACTAACGAATCACACATCATTCCAGTTGGGCCAATCATGGTAAAGAAAGTGGAGCCGGTCTGTCTATTGGAGCAGTGCTCCCTCATCTCTCGTGTGCACAGGTGTCCTGGGGCCTGCCTCAGTTGTCTGATGGGGCCTGAGGTTTATGTGTTTAGGCTCTCGGCTCGGCCGGTGGGAGACAGGTCGATGCGGAGGCTGGAAAGGCCATGAGGGGCTGTGGCCGCTGAGGGTCTTGGCAAAAACAGGAGAGGACCGTAGGGCAGTGCCCACTGGAAGCTGCAGCAGATTAACAAACGTCAGCATGCTGCACCCAAAAGTCAACCTGAGTAGTTTTATCATCTTTGGCGAATTTTACCACCTTTGGTGATAAATCCCAAGTTCAAACAACAAACAGGAAATTAGAGGTGCCTCCCTCCCCGCTCAGTCACCTGAGTGGCAGGAGAGGAACTGCTGTTCTCAGGCCCCTGGGTCTGGACCTGCTTCTCTGACTCTTCCTCCCACCACATTCCCTCATCCCATCACCCCAGTCACAGGCACCTTCTTTCTGTTTCCAGGGACCTACGCTGAGTAAGGACCCCAGGGTTCTGAATTGGCCTGGGAAGTTCTTACCCCATTCTTCTCATGGCCGCTTCTTCTTTACAAAAAAAAAATATGTTTATTGCTTTGAGAAAGGAAGGGAGAGGGAGAGAGAGATAGAAACATCAATGATGAGAGAGAATCAACGGTCGGCTGCCTCCTGCATTCCCCCCTCTGGGGATCGAGCCGGCAACCCGAGCATGTGCCCTGACCAGGAATCAAACCGTGACCTCCTGGTTCACGCTGTAACCACTGAGCCATGCCAGTCGGGCATGACTGCTGCTTCTCATCAAGAGACCTCAGCTTAAATGTCACCTCCTCAGACACGCCCAGCCACACTGCTCTGTGCTTGGGGACTGTGGTACAGTGGCACACGATGAAACGTGCTGAATGATTGCACATAAAAAGCTGTAAGACACCCACCGGGAGCATCATCGTGCTCGTGACTCCTTGATGGGGAGTGGGGGACACACAACTTAGTGTCTGAGAAAGTACTGTACAGGGAACCTGAGGGACCTCAAGGCTTTAGCAAAAGGAGACTTACCCCCGGGGAAAGGAGACCCAGTGCCCTGCAGTGATGGACAAAGACCCCAGGCAAGGCTGTCCCCACAGGAGGCAGCTCGGTCAGGAGGCCAGTACTCTTCCTGGACAGCGGGTTTGTTCAAACTCCTCAACACACACACAATATCCAGAAGGGTGCGTGGCACTTAGAATGTGTGAAGAACTTAAGGAGTCAAAGAATACAAATACCGGGTGTATCCCCTCTTTAAAACACTTGATTTTATTTTTGGTCCCACTCTGACAAGCGCACTGAGAGTAATTATAATAATTATGTCAGCGTGTGTTTCATTCAGCTCGCGTTCATGCTCACTTTTCCTGGGATGCGAGAACATGCCCAACGTTCCTTCATATTCAGACAACCAGGATGCCTGCCCAGGACCAGACACACACTCACAGAACTGTGCCAACAGCCTCCCAATGCCCTGAACATCCATCATCGTTGTTCCCAAAGAACCAGTTCCTTCTATGGGAATCTGAAGACAATGAGTATTGCCAAGTGAACAGGAAAGCCAGGCCTCCTCCAAACTGGGCAATTCTGGAAAACAGTTCAGCAGAGGCACCTGGCGCCAGCGTCTACAGCAGACACAGAGGCCCAGGAGACCCGTGGGGGGTAGGGGGCACCGAGATGCCCGCCGTCAGGGAGCACACAGTACCTGTAGGTGATCCTCACTTCCGTTCCGGGTTCGTCTCGCTCCCAGATCAAAGCAACACTCTCCGGGGACTTCTGAACATGCCGATCCAAGCAGTTGACTGCACAAAAACAGGTTAACAAACATTAGACTCGGTTATCTTAGAGTTTGAATCGGTGGGGGGGGGGGGCGGTCTGGTTCGCTGTGACCTGCACTACTCTCTGCTTAGGTGGACCCTTCCCTCATCAAAGGGGAGGTTTCTACTTCCTTGCAAGGAGAAGGGTGATTGTCAGAGCCTGGAAAAACAAGACAATAACTACTCAAATATGATCTCACAGGTTTAGGGTGAGCCCCTGTGGACAATCTGAGGCAGGTACTTCACACCAGTAGTCTCAAGCCCAGCCACACATTGGTGTGACCTGGGCCTCCTCCAGGGACCCTGACCCAATTGACTTTGTGGTTTCGAGACTCCCTGGGTGGTGCTAATGTGCAGCTGGGGCTGAGCGCCACAGCCTGAGCTGTTGGAAAGAATATTTCATGCAAATAGGATGCTCCTGATGCAATACAAGGTTCATGCCAGGGGCTCTCGCGTGTGGTAGAGATGCACACAGTCCAGGCCAAGGAGCCACATTCCTTCTCAGGTATCCAGCCAGCACCCTAAAACCTAAAACCAGCCTCTGCTCCAAGGAGTGTTGCAATGATGGGGAAATGCAATGCTGGTTTGCCGGAAGGCTCCCCTCCACCCCCCTTCTTACTCAAGCTCAGGTCACATGACTTCCCATAAAAAGAAGAGGTCAGTTCATCCGGTGTACTGTAAACTGAAGATTAGTAAAATCATGTTCATTTGCTGACATCCTGTTCAAGGTGAGCTTAACTGTGGCTGGTAATGCCAGCCTTCGAAGCCGGCCTTTCATTGCTCACCTCCCCATCAGCAGGGGAAATGAACATCACACATAGCTGTTGGGGGTAGCAGCCATCTGCCCACCTGCTCTTCAGGTCACCCCAATGTCCAGACATATAAATTTGTGTGTTTTTTCTCTTCGGGGCAGTTACTTATCTTCTTCAAATCAATCTCCTCCTACGTAACTGGGAGCTGCATTATCTATTATCTCTAACTCAAGAGGCCATGACCAGAAACAAATGAAATACTGAACGTTAAAGTACCGTTATATAAATACAAGGTTCTATATTGCCAACTGATAAATACCATACTATGAGTTAGAGACTTTTAAATGGGATAACTGTTCTGACAAAAGTTATGGGAGATACCAAAAGATCATATGATTCCTATAGTTCTTGAGAGGGTGAACTCACGTGAAAATAATACATAGTTTAGTGTGTGTGTGTGTGTGTGTGTGAATTACATTTTTCCCTCTTGGGTTATTTTATTCTTATAATAAAAAAAATCATTTCAATTTCCTGGCTCATAACAGGATATAAATTATACGTCAAAAAATTTTAAATATGAGGTAGATATCATGGAAAAAGTTGCTAATACTACTTACTGATGCAGAAAAGTTATTTGAATTATTAGAAAAGTAGAAGAGAAAAAATGCCCCCTCCCCCCCGCCAAAAAAAAACACAGAAAAAAGGGAAAACAAGATGAGAAACTAAGAAGAAGGGGCTTGGTGGTAGAACCTGGATTTATACAATAAGCCCAAATCAATGTGTGTACGAGAGGGAGGGAGGGAGGGAGGGAGGGAGAGAGAGAGAGAGAGAGAGAGAGAGAGAGAGAGAGAGAATGGTCTGAAGTTCATATATCAAATTTTCCCACTAAAGCTAGGGATCTCTGACTTCTCTTGAACAATCAGCAGATGAGGACACACACTCCCCTGGGAGCTAAGGTGGGAGCCACGCCTCAGCCGGAGCTTCCTGTCCCCCCTCCACTGCCTGGCCCTGATGGAGTGGGAAGCAGTGACCCCAAACAGGTCATGACAAGCCTTGGATGCTCAGCTCCTTGAACGGAGGACAGATGCTGAGAGAGGGCCGGAGGGGAAACAGGGTGAGTTAAAGCTGCGCACTGAGCAGGAGTCCGGCAGCAGGGCGCTGCTTCCATGTGTACATGAGTGTTTGTTGGACCCTGGCTGCTCCAGGCATCCCAGATGCAATCCCTTAACCCCACCCCGGATCAGTGCTGAGAAGACTCCAGGTGACAGGTGTGCACTCTTATCCGAGAAATCTGCTCCAACACACTTTCTCCCACCCTGAGGTGGACCTTCTGAGTTACCCTGGAAAGTGGCCAGCTCAGATACAGCTTAGGAAACAGTCTACCCAAGGCCGAGCCAGGAAGCAATAGGAAGGGCCTCGAAACACAAGTAACACCTTACCTGGGGCTCATATACCCACATCACCTGCTCCCACAGCAGCCAGGGTGCCAACACATGACTGCCCAACTTCGAACCTAGACCCTCAGTGCCACAGAGCCAAGCAGGAAGGCAGAGGTGCAGAAGGTGGAGGAGAAAGACTTGCCCCATGATGGACAGCACCCAGAATGTTGCTGGCTGGCCAGCAAGACCAGCCCTGTGGCCACCTCTTCCCAGGGCTGACAAACAGGAGGAATTCAGGCAGGTAGGCACTGAGCCCAGGTGCAGTGTCCCTAGGGACCTTCCTTGAACACGGGAGGTGCTGGACAAGTGGCCACCAAGACCCTGAGTGATCGACCTCTCCCTATGGCAGTGCCGATTCTGGTGAGCACCTTCCAGCCTCGGGACCTTTCTGTGGCACACACTCTCTCACCTACTGCCCACTCTCCTGCAGGTCCCGGCCTACACATTCTCACTGTCTCAGTGAGCACTTCACGTCCTGGGGACCTCTAACTCGCTTGAGGCTTTTGCACATGCTGTCCCTCTGTGGGCAGGGGCCAGATGTCCTGTTCATATTTTCACACATGCAGCCTAAGCCGGAGCACAGAGCCGAGAAGCACCTCAGCTCCGATGGTGGACAGACCATTCAAGTCCTTGAGCCAAAGAACAACGATGGAGTCTAAATGGCATGAGGCTGGCCCCATGCCCAGGGGAGGGAACAGACCTCTTCCTGTCTTCATGGCTTTGTTCCTCAAGAAGTTCTCTTGTTGGACTCAGTCAGCACTTCCAAATCCCCCAGAACCTCCAAAGGGCTTCTTGGCACACACATTATGACCCCACAACTACTGGAAGTCTGAGTGAGCAGATCTGGGCCGCCTGAGATTTCCCCTCTAACAGATCCCAGTGATGCTGTTGCTGCTGGTTCAGGCCCAGGCTCCCATAGACAGACATGCATGGCTACCTCTACACGCATTCTACTTTGTATGTGTATTCCCGATTCCGGGGGGCTTTCTTTTCCCTACGGGGACAGGAGTGATCAAAAACACTGCCAGGGAGATGAAAGGTGGAGACTGCATGCACTTTCTTCCAGCCATGGACCAGATTTACAGCTAAACTACTTGAAAACCAACTGAAGTGTAGCTGATCTGAAACAGTGTTTCTAGGTAGCACCGAAGAAGCCACATAGAGACTGGTAAGAGGAGATGCAGAAAGGGAAAGCCCCCCTCAGGCAGGTGTGGCGGCTGACAGGCCAGACAGATATTGTCCCTGAAAAGCTCCCTCCCCTGGGAGTGTGGAGGCTCAACCCCACACAGAGATCCCCAACCCAGAGCAACAGAGACAGGAAGAGCCTGTGTAGCATTGGGCAGAGGGATTCAGGGGGATTCTGTCCACCTGGGAGACGGACCGCACCTACTGTTAGCAGCCACAGCCAGACAAGTTTGCTCCAGACTCCGACTGCTGGAGAGGTTGTGCGGCTGTGTTTGGGTCCAGTGGAGGGGTCTGCGGGCTGCACCCAGCAGTGACTTTGAGGGACCATCTACTTTCTGGAAAAGTATTGGGCAGAGAGCCCCAGTCAGTGACTAATCTGTGTGGCTTGGAGGAAAAGGAACGTCTCTTCCACGCCGAGCACAGAGCCACAGCCCCTCACCCACCTGTGGAGCCACCTGGTCTGCCCCAGCCTGCTGGCTGGCGGTGCAGGGGAGCAGTGCAGGTCTGGGATTTTAGGCCCATACTACAGGGTTCAGAGCCCAATCAGAGCTGGGAATTTCTGCCCCACTTTGTGGAGGCCAGCCGCCCAGATAGATCAGAGTCCTGCACGAGGCTGATTTCCTGGCCCCTCCTCCATGGTTTGGTGGCACAGAGGAGCTGGGATTTGGGCACTGTATCCCCCAAGGAGGCTTCTGTCAGGGAGACAAACAGGGAGTGCTGAGCTCTGTGACTATACACTGTGGAGTGGCAGATCCAAGCTTTCTGTAAATTTCACCTCTCAGACCCAGGAAGGAGAGGCAGTGCCCGTCCTCCACTCCTGCAGGCTGCGGACACCACTCCAACAGGAGACTGCCTGGTTCAGCCTGTGAAGTTCTGGATATCCCCGCTGGGTCAAGTTCTGTGGGGGATGGAGAGCAGCTCACAGCAGGTCATTCAAAGTGTGAGTCCCCACCTGCAGGCTGGGCCCCAGACATCCTCAACAGGAGACTCTTGACCTATCCCGCTGAGCCCAGGGCAGCTGAACCTGGTGCTGCAGAGGAGACTGCAGACTGTACCCAGCCTGAACCTGCAGTGAGACCCCAGAGGGGGAACTGGAGTTGGAGTCTCTGGCAGAGACTGAAGAGTTTGGCTTGAATTTATCAGAAACAGAGCTCAAACCACACAAGACGCCAATCCAATTAGCCACACAAAATGGCACATCCAAAGGGGAATCCTGGCAGGTTCCAGACCCTGCTGGGGATAATCCCACCTTGGGGGGCAGCCCCTGCACAGCATCTCATTCATGGTGATCAAGGTTTACCTCGATAGACACCCAGCCCAAAAGGTTAATGACTATGCCACTGAGCCCATCGAGACACCTTGAGATGGTACCTGCCCAGCAGTTTGCATGCCAGGGGTGGGGGCGAGCCTCATATTCAGCCAGCCTGAAGGTCGATCCCACCCACAAATGGACCAACATCAATCAAGACCCAATTATAACAGGAAGGCCCAAATAACCCGCACAAGAGACATTCCTAGAGCACCCAGCTCAGGAGATCAAGGAGACTGAACCACTGGGTCCCACAGGACACCTACGAAGACTGGTAGTCATTGCAGTCCTATCTAATGCA